TATACTACATTTTTCAAATAACCCCACAAGTAAACATCTGGTGAAGTTAAATCTGGAGAACGTGGAGGCCACTTTGTAGCGCCGAATCTGCCTATCCATTTTTCATGGATCACTTACCTTAATCAAGTGTACCATGAAAAATGGATAGGCAGATTCGGCCCTATAAAGTTGCCTCCACGTTCTCCAGATTTAACTTCACCAGATTTTTACTTGTGGAGTTATTTGAAAAATGTAGTATACAAAGAAGCTCCGACAACTCGAGAGGATATAAAAAACAGAATAAAAAGAGCCTGCAATAATATTCCTCGGCGAGTTTTGTTATCTACCATTATACATTTTCAGAAACGGCTCCGTTTATGTTTACAACAGAATGGTAGTGTATTCAAACATTTATTAAATGGATCAATTAAAAAATTAGCGCTTCTAAGCCTAGTGCTCGTCACATGCACACACGTACATACATGATCGGCAAGAAGTCTTACGTAAAACAAGCACCCCGAAGTGAGAGGCAAGGGGACTCACGTAAATCAAGCACCCCAAAGGGATGAAAGCCCCGCCACGTCCACGTCGTTCATCCTGGGTAACGCTAAGCACGGGAAAATGCGTGTCAAGCGCGGGTATGAAGCTGGTTGACCATCAAACAGAGTCAGATAACGGATAGAAACAACACACATACACACGCGCGCGCACGCACAGAGAGAGAGGGGGGAGGGGGACAGAAGGAGAGAGGTAGAGAAAGAGCGAGAGAGAGGGGGGAGAGAGAGAGAGAGAGAGAGAGAGAGAGAGAGAGAGAAGGACAGTTTGAAGTCACAAAATACGCACACTGTATGGGGGTCGAAACCTTTTACTTAAATTATAAACTTTGGAACACTGTAACTCAGTGAAAAATGATCCAATTTCAAAAAATAAAAAACCGTTGTATTTGTCTCCATGTCACCTACGACATTCACTGGAACATAAAAATCGGTTGCCATTTGCAAAAATGGCCGCCATGTAGAAATCTCGAAAGTGGCGACACCTACAATTAAACTGACATGGCCAACTTCTGCCTCCCTTGGAACCATAAAACTATTGTTTAAAACATTTTTCCTATCTCTTTTATTTTAAGAGATATTTAGCTGCATCACTTAAAATGATACACCCTGTACATATCATTGACATAACATAATTATTTGCGTATAATATATGTACTTACAATTATTTTATACCAATCGGATTGAACAAGCCGTGACCTCACACCAGCTTGACCTCCTTTGAAATTCCTATTCGGCATCGGACTGTTCCTACCGCGAGAGACCGTATGCCTATCACCCCTACCTCTATCTCTATCCCTCTGATTTATTATCACCTGGCTAGTATTATTGTTGGAACTACCCGCCATTGGAATGTCCTCGTCCAGTAAATTTGACAATATCAAATTACGCGACATATCCCTGTGATTCGGCCTACGTGTCTTAAACGATACGCGATGTTTGGTGGGACCGACGTGAGGTCCACCATCCCTTCCTCCATTTCGTACCATCGTACGATCATCGTGACCTAAAAGCAAATTGTCGACTGCAAAAATTTAGAGTTATTTCGCAAAGCCACTTTCGAAAAAAGATCGGAGGCGATTTTTACAACTTTCTACACCGACAGAAGGTGCGGTGTCACAATCCCGTTAACATCGCGTTCGCGAAAGACGCAGTTCGTTACAAAACCCTCTCGCTCGCTCGCTCGAGATAAGATAAGGTCGATTCAGACTGTACGACACGGACCGTCACGTTCCGGCAACGACACAGATCGGCAGACATTGACGGAACATGCAGGTCGGTGCCGGTCCGTATCGTTGCCGGAACGTGACGGTCCGTGTCGTATAGTCTGAATCGACCTTTATTCGTTAACAAATTGATTTGCCACTTTTTCTCCCGCGCAGTTAATTTCTTCCGTATCGCGCGACCGACTTGATCATCCGCGCTGCACAGACGCGCGTATCAAAGCGGGAAAAAAAATTGCGCAGTTGCATACTCCGCACGGAGCAGAGCGTTCATCTTGTCTTCTCGTATGCAACACCAATGGACCGTTGCAACGCGTACGCAAAATGAACCGAACGGATAAACGCGAGCGGGATATCATTTCGCACTCCCGCGGGAGAAAACCGCGAGCCCGAATCGCGCGTAGCGAGCCGTGAAGCGGCTGAGAGCACTCACCAAAATACCCTTTTCCTCGGTTGTTACCGCGGCCGCCCCATCTATTGTTGCCTGATCTTTTCGGCATCTTGCTCGAGTCCACGGAACCTAAGGGATCCACGAAGCTAAACGCGAGACCTAAGCGAAAACCGCGAAACACCTAGCTTATACTATCTCTATCTACTCGCACAACCCTACTCTTAGGAGGTTAGCCTCGAACTTCGCCTAACGATTCTCTTTGCCCTTCACTCTTACGAGCTACGCAAGCACATCCGAATCCTAGCGACGCTGTGGTACGAATGAGCGAGAAACGAGCGAGATGCGCGGCTGTCGGGTCGAGACTCGAGACTTCGAGAGTGTCAAGACTCGAGACTCGTCACTCGAGACGACGTTGCGCGCGCATGCGCAGAGGGGGAGCCGCCGATGACGACGCGACCGATGATTGGCCTAACGGCGCGGCAGCCGCGTACTTTCCCCGAAGGGCGGTAGTGCCGGTAGTATTCCTTGTGGAAATTTTTCTTCTATCCTTCTTCGGCGCGTAACGAACTACGAGGATAGACGCTGTCTAGACAGCGTAGATTTATATTGGGTGTGGGAATGAGTTTCCGACCAAAGAGGATCAGATAGAGTGGAAGCTGGCCGTGTATAGAGTACCTCTAGTGAGAGTATGGACACCGTTAGTCGATTTTTTATTGGCTCTTCGATTCGCCATTTGTAACAGGGCAAAGTTTGATCAAAAGTAAGATTTTTGCAGAAATTGTGGTTCAAATCTTACTTTTGATCAAACTTTTCTGACTCGGGGTCGGGTCGGGTCTGAAAATCGAAAACGCTAATAGATTCATGGGACAATCAGGGGCACTCAATTTGTTTACTATCATATTTTGTAAGTTTTACAATGATATATTTAATATTTTAATGTAATTATAGAATATATTATTAATAATAAAGCTTGGAGTTTTTAATTTAATTATTATTTTTTATAGTTACTTATCAACATTAAATTGTGCATATAATTAACAATCCTAACCTTAAACTAAACATATATTGACTGTGATCTGGTATTCACTGTCAATCTAAAAATTTGTACAAAAGGTAAATTTTCAGTTCTGGCAGTGAAATATGCAGATCGGATTACATACGTACATACATATATACATGCATACATA